AAGGCACCTGGCTCACCTTTTGTTGTTCGTCATGTAAAAAAGTTTTTAATTAACTATATCGAATTTGCCAAGCAGAAAGGTAAAAAATATCAACATATATCGATCGTATACAAATATATTCAACAGCCAAACACATGACGTATGCGCAATATAATGAAAACTAATTTTAGTTTCTCTGCATATTTGGCTAGTTTTCTAAATGAATATTTCAAAAGAGGATGTTTTAAAAATACATCCAAATAATTCAAGGCTTAAAATTGCGTATTAATTAAGTATACGCAATATTGGAAATGCAATTGCAAAAAAAGTTGCAATTGCATAGCAAATTTTAAAAGCATTTATATCACATTATTGTGCTATAATTGTTAATAGTTAATGCGCTGAAAATGAATTAAAATTAAAAGCTATCGAAGCGTTTACTGTGCTATGGGCACACGAGCTTGATGGCTTGACGGCGGATCAAATATCAATATAGCTCGACTATTTTAATTAATAATATGAAATATTTATAAGAAACTATTTCTCAACTTTTTTTAAAATAAATAATGGAATTATTAATAAATATTTTACAGTAACTAATTAGTAATTTATGTATTCAGCTCAAGCTTATTAAAGTCGTGTATACAGGGAATCCCTTGTTCAAGCATGCTCTCTTTTGCTATTTTATTTATTTATTTGATTTTTGTTTTTAATTGCCCATGAACAACAATTGAACGCAACAATTGAAACACGCATGCAAAATATTTATTATTAATTTGTGGCTGTCGACCAGCTGCAGAAAATTATTGGCAAAATTTCTTTCTTTCATTTGCTTTTTGTTTTCTGTTTTGTATTTAATTGTATTATTTTCCATTTGCTATTTATGCACTTTTGTGTTCTGTTTATTAAATGGCGAAATGTGTGAAGTATAAATATTTATGTTGTTTATTTATTAACCTGCGCGTTTACTGCAACGGCGAACAGGATACGCGCTTTATTAATTTGCAATGCCATAAAAGCTGACAGATGCACAAAATGCTCATGAATTGTTAACAGATTGTAGTAAATGAGGGAATAAAAACTACAACAAATACGACACAATATATGCATACAAATATATATGAAGAACTATGCTGGCAAATTGCACTTAATGTTGCAGAAGAATTCACTCAAATTGCGGCTCAATAACTATGCAAATTGGTTAATAATTGCGGCCAGAAAAGAAAAACACAAATAGTTTATATGAAATGTTTGCTTTAAACGCTATTCACTTATCTGTATGTTTAATTATTGAAAAATATATTTATTACAAAGCATTTTTAATATTAAACCAACTAAGAAATCTAAGTTTCGTTGAGATAAAAGCTTTTGGCGAGTTCAGTAACTTAAAGATAAGTCTCTTTTCAAAACTATTTGGGAAAGTAAACAAAACATTCATACAATCTTCGATCTTAATATATCTAAATGAGTTAAGGTGATATACACACATAAATTTGAAACATTCGAAAGCATAATTTTAGGGGCGTCTACTTAAAGCTTTGCATTGGATTTGGTAAGTAGTTTCAGGCGACCGGGACTGCACTTACGATACTTTGAGCTTAGGAGTACAAAAAGATTATTAAAACTTTTTGAAGTTTGCTCCTAGAACACGCCTGAACACGCCTTATTAAAAATGACATGCCCCAAATTAAGTTTTAAAATGACAATTTTTAAGAATTTCTTAACATCCTGCAAGTGTGTTTGAGACAGTTTTTAGATTCTTTATGCATTTGTAAAGTGAATACCAAAATTCAAGTAGCTTCCAATAGTTGTGACACTTTTATGACAGCAGAAATCTACAAACTAAAAACTGAAAAGCAAAGCGCGTCCCAAGGCGATAAAAATCAATTTTCCCATCCAGACATGCAAACAGCAGCAGTGACAACACCGACAGGGAATCTGAAATAGGGAATGGTTGAGAGTGGGGAATTGGAAGAGGTATGGAAAATTAAGAGACGCATGCAGCACGGCAAAAGCTACGACAGAGACCCGACTGCAAGGGTAGACGGAAAAAGAGACAGGGTGAGAGAGTGAGGGGGGGTAAGCAAAGACGAGAAGCTGCAGTACAGGAGACGGAATGCAATGCAAATAGCTTTAAATGCATTTGACGATGCTGTGATTTGATTTCAATATCTCAGCGTCGCGCCTCGACTCCCGCAACGTTGTGTTGACTTTCAATTTCTGTTTGCGCGCAGTTTTCTGATTATAATTCCAGTGTCGACAGAGTTTTCGATATTGTTGTTGCTGGTGCAAGCGAACATTTGCCGCTGCATTTTTATTTTTGGTTTTACTCCTTTTATAGTTGTTTGTTGAATTTCAATTTGAAGCTGCCTGGAATTGAGGTATTGGCGCTGCGAGGCTTTGCGTGTGTCCTTGAGAGCACTGAAAACGTCTTCAGCGTGATTGCTATCTGCGCAAGGCGTTTAGCTGATTGCAAAGCAGACCAATGAGGCGTATGCGTAATGTTGAGTTAACTAGAAATCAGTGCACAAATAACTAAACAATGGAATAGCAGTTGGCAAAGAGTGGGCGAGCGAGAGAGACTGAAGTATTTGTAATTATAAATTATTTAGAAATCAAGGACTTTAAAGATTTTATGGAGAAATGCAATCGAGTTGCAGCTTATCAGATTGCAGCAACGTCGTACGTCAGTCAGATGGAAATCTTATTCTAAAAAGCAGCTCAGTGTATATTTTTCAGCCGAGAAATGTGCCAGAGCAAACGCTGTCTGACAACTCGAAATAGGAAAGAAAGAAAGGTAAGAACACCTAGTTAATTTTCGCCAGTGCAGGCAATAAAGCAGCACAGGCAGCGTCACGTGCGCATTTAAGTTGCAAGTTACAATGACAACGTGCTACACACACACAGTTTGTTAGCGCATGTCAGCGTAAATTTAACACACAACGAAACCTGACGCCGCATACAAACTAAGCCGAGTTGTAGTAGAGAGAGACAGAGACAGAGGAAAAACAGTTCACACTCGATCTCTCTCTCGCACCTGCTCAAGCAATCTCCCTTCCGCGCACGTCTAGCTCATTTTGTGGTATATTTCTGAGCGCGAGTGCAATAAAAAGATGTACCTGGGCGAATTTAGAGGAAGTCGGGGCTAGTTTTTTTTTGGCACACGCGGCATAACTGACTCTAACGCTGGCAGCGACTGCGCTGCATAATCAGGAACGCGACTACGGCAAAGGCGACAACTACAACAACAACACCAGCTACTAGAACAGCATCAAAAGCAACTGTGACCACAAAAACAACAGCAGCAACAACAGCAACAATATCAGCGACTACATTTATCATATGAAATGCACGTGCCAAGCGTTTGCCAGCGTTGTTTCCGTGCAGGCACGAGCTGCTTGCTCGATAAGTCAGCCCAGTGACGAGCTATATATAAGGCGAGGGTAGGCCAAAAATATATATATATATACATATATATATATATATATATATATATATATATATATATATATATATATATATATATCAATAGTCTGCACTCTATGAAACCTTAGAAGCTAACAAAGCTGTCTCAGCTCTCTCTCGCTCGCATACAGCTTAGAGCTTCATCGCATTAGCTGCTAGTGTATTCATAGGCAGCCCAGTATTATATTTGCAGATGCTGTTGCATTTGCTGCTGCTGCATAATTAGATCGAGTAACGTTAGTGTGTGACAAGAGCTGTGTTTGGCTTGGGTCATGAATAGCGCTTAGATGGAAGCATAATACAAATATGTTCAAGCACTTCTTAAGCTGCTTGCCAGAGTGCCGAGTCTAATCTTGTTGAATCTAGTCTTGCCGGCTATTGACTGATTGCGCAAATAGTCCCCTCCCCTTATACAAACACATTCACAGACACACACGCACATATAATTGGTGGCAAGAACAGACGGTGGAAAGTAAACGCTGCATAAACTTTGACGCAGACACAAATTGCATTCTGCTGTCAGGAAAGTTTCTGCACCTTACAACCAAATGCCAGCCAAGTGCTACATTGTTGTTGTTGTTGCTTGAGCTGCTTAAGTGCCATGCATTGAGTTGTTTTCCCAGCACCCAGAACCCTTTTCCACAGTCACCGTTCTCTTGAATGCACTTGAGAAAATCGATGCCTTGAGCGCATTGTTTTTGCAGCCGCACTTCAACTTGAAAATGTTTTGATAAACTAGCTGGCTATGCAAAGCAGCAAAACAGCAAACTAAAAAGACGAAAAAAGATAAACGAGCTGAAAATCAACTAAGAATAAACCCAAGGCGAACTTTAAGCCAAATGCCAGTCAGCTGCAACAGCAACAAAGAGCAACATTTGCAGCGAACAGTTGTCAAAATGCTTGAGTAACAAAAATACCAAAAAAAAAAGGAAACTTAAGAAAATAAAGGAAAGGACAAGGAAGGGGAAAACAAATAAGATCGAATACTAACTACACTCACTTCTAAAGCTTATTGACAGCAACTTATAGAAAAATATAAAGTTAAAAGATTTGCATATTTTAGACTTTTCGCTTTTGGTAAATGAAGATTTACTTAATATAAATATGTTTAAAATCGAACCAAGCTGAAGAGTTCTATAGATTAATAAAAACATTATTGAAAAATATCATAGTTTTAAAACTTCCCATTTATTTTCCGACTAATTGTGAGGATAACCTGATTTGAATAACAAGAAATCCACAATATTTTGCCCCTTTCATGTTTTTTCCATCCTAAGAACTGGAGCATAACCAAAAATTGCAGTGTAAAATCAACAAAGAAACTGAATTGGAAAAACTTGTGGCACTTGAATAACAACAACAGCAGTAGCAGCGGCAGCGGCAGCAACAAACAAGCGCAATAAAATTGGTAAAACAATTGTCAATGCGTCAATTTAAATGGATTTAGTTTCGAAAGGGACAACAAGCACGAATCAACAAACAAAAAAGCAAAAGAAGCTTGGAAAAACTTGCCAAGAACAAGTATTCCAGTTTGCTCCAAAAAAAAAAGAGAGCTAATCAAGCAGGAACTCAAAAAGTGAGTCCCAAGCTTGGCAAGGGAAAAAACTGTTTACGGAAATTTGACTCACGATGAAGCTGCTTTTGCTGTGCACTTGGTGGCTGAGCCACGCTTTGGGTAAGTGGTGCGAAGGTGGTGACGAAATCAGCTCAATGTGTTGTTCGCAGTGGTGCAAATATATGGGCATTGCCTCAGGCAGCCGTTGCCAACTGAGAAAACTGCTGATGCTGCCACACGCCACATGTGGAGAGCCACGGGATGGCCAGCGGACACGGGCAGTTGCGCTGGGCCAACAACTTTGCGGTCAGCCACTGACAGCGTTGTGGCTGTAGCTGCAGGCAATGCTACAGCAAATGCCTCAGCCAATGCCACAGCCCATGCCACATCAGTTCAAGTAGTGAGCCTAGCCAATTATGTCTATCAGTGTGCCGCCAAGCGTGCGCCAAATCTCTCGCCCGATTTGCGCTCAACTCAGAGCCTTCATCGTCCATTGCAGCTGCATCTGCAACAGAGGCAGCTTCAACAGTTGACGGTGCCTGCGATTGCGCTAAAGCTGGTCAACATCTGTCGTGGCAAGGACGAAGAAATGTATTTGGCATCAGGCTGAAGTCTACACATGCAACTATATTTTTTAGCTTGTGTTTTGTTGCAAGTTCAATGTTAAATATAGCAATAATTTAGCCGCAAAAAGGCTAAATGGCTTTTGTCAAGAATTATTTAGTTCTCCCGTCTTTTTTTAAGTATGACAGACCCATAAAGTATATATATATATATATTCTTAATCAGTACGAAGCGCGGAGCCGATTTATTTCCGTCCGTCCGTTCGTCCATGTAAACGCAGCGATCTCGTAGACCACACAAGCCAGATACTGAAGCTTTAAATTTATATTTCCGTATACCATACGCAGTCAAATTTTATTTATTTTTTTTTCGATCTCAACTTATTAAGCTTATATACTATAAATGTAGTGTGTAGGTTGCAGTAAGGAATACAGAGATTTGGCTTCTGTTTGGGATTTTAGGTGCCTAAATGAGCAGTCTTAACAAAAGCACAAATATATAATTTAACATGGGAATATAGTAGGAATATTTTAACATAATTGATTAAAGTCGGTCGTCGTCATGGCTTCAGTTGAAAAGTTGACCACAAGCAAACGCTGTGGAATCTTGAGTCAACGTAAGTTAAGAGAACAAAGTTGCCGTAGCAACCAGCATCAAGAAGACCTAGACAAGTTGATTGGCGCAGATGAAGCTACAACTATTGTTATTTATGTTGAATGCAGTAAGTTTAGTTCTAAGATATTGGTTATTTGTATATTTCATTCAATACAAGAGCTATTCACGCACACGCAGCTGTATTATATTAAATACGCTAGAAATAGTTGGCTGAGCAAGGCAAATCTGATGCGTGTAGAGCATGAATGCAATGGCTGCAATATCTCTACCTCAACTTAAATCTGATGTTAGTAAAGTTGCCAAATAAACTGGCTGGCTGCAATTTCATCTGCAATAACTAATACAAGGCGTCACATTGTAGTGCGCAAGCACATAAAAATGGTATACTGATAAGAGTATAATAGAGAGGAATTCCATCTGCCAGCTTCACATGCTTCGCCTGATTTGAAAACAACCCATACACACACATAAATCGAGACTGGCATTGGCACAGCTGATAGATTGTACAATGTTCAGCTGCCAGGTGCTGCCTTTGACGCGACGTGTTTTTGTCACATTCGCAGAGCATTAGGCCATTGGAGATTGAGCTGGACACAGAGAGATAGACAGACAACACGCAACACGCCATTGAGTGCCGTGCATTAAGCTTAGTTGAAATTTTCGCTAAATTTCATGGCTGTTGCCTACCTGCCTACCTTTCTCACTTGGCGCCTCGCTAAATAGCCACCTGTGCAGGTGCAGCGTGCTATCTGCGAGGTAATTGGCAAATAGCTGCGTAGCTTAGCTCTTAGCTGCAATTTCAATGGCTCGCTGGTGCAGCGGCAGCCATGCCTACCTCCCATTCCCCCCTTCAGCAATTTTGTTAATTTTCCAACTGCTTTGCGTGCATTTCGTGCACGCCTAAAGTTTTAATTAAGCTAAAGCCAAAGTGCACTTGGAGCATGTGTATACACACACCCACATACACCCATTCACGCTCAGCAGAAGTGTATGCTATTCATAGGAATGAGCTTCCCAGTTGCCTTTTCATTTATACAAAATACCAAAGCACAATCCGAAAAATATGTTACAATATGGCTTGCTCATCTCTCTCTCTCTTTCTTTCCTCTCTCTATTCGTCTCTTTTGGACTCTGTTAACCATTTGAAAAACCCAAATGTGTTTGGTCTCCCGTTGCGGTATTATTTTGTAGCCACGCTCCCGCTTCACATAATTTGAAAAAGAGCAACTGCCAGTTGCTGCTAACGCTAACGGTAATGCGCCTTGCTGCGGCTTGGTGTGTATTTCAAATGCCTGTGGCCCGACAGACAAGCAGACGGATGAGTGTACGGACAGACGGCGCTTCTTTTATGTTTTATTAGCCACGTCTAATTGAAATATGCACGTTGCGTGTGTGTGTGACTACCCTGAAAAAGCTCACTCTATTAGCGGCGCCTTCTTCAGTGCCTATTTATGCACATAATTAAGTCTGTGAGTGTTCATCTTTATGTCCATTAGCAGCAACTCTTAACGGGCTCTAACACACACTGCTTAGCTGAGACATGAATGCTCTTTCTTGAATTTCGTATCCATGGCAGACAAGCTGTGCCTTTAGATATATATATGATATGCATAAGTCTATATAAATATATGCTTATTTCTATTTTTCACAGTCAACGTATTTTGTGTTTGTATTTTTTACTTTTTGGCACATCTACTTTACCACTTTATCCCTTTCATTTTTTCACATGCATTTTGCACTGCAATTGCTGTAAATTCATAAAATGAGGTTATGAATGGCTATAAAACGTCAAATAAGACTAGTGCCTAAGTATTAAATATATTTTAGAAATTAAACTAAATTAAAGCTTAAAATAAATAAACAGAATAAAAACATGACCTAATCATATTACGGCTTGATCGATTTGGATGTAAAGTTTAAGCAATATTTTATAAGAATATTTCTCATCCCATTTCAAAGACTCCCAACATGAAAAAGACTATAAAAAATATGTAAAATATTCTGCATGCAGCAAAAATATATGTATGTTATGAAAACGTATGCAAATAATCAGTTGCAAGACCGCATTGAGCATCCTTTTAATAACGGAGCAAAAACTTGTAAATTGCTTATTTTTCAAAAGTTTATTTTGATTATTTTCATATCTCTGCGTTCTTTGTTTGTTGGACAAATGTCGTTTGTTGGTTTTCAATTAAACTTGCAGATGACTGAAACTCGGAAATATTTGGGAGATGCAAATCGAAATAATAAACGGCAAAGGCAGAGCAAAGGTAAATCGCAGTGAATAATATTTTTTGTTGCTATTTTCAGGTTCTGTGATGGCATAAGGAAAATATTAAAAAAGTTTGGCCATGAGAAAGATTTATTTGCTTAATCCAAATAATGTCAAAAAGCCACAAAACGAGCGACAGGCACATAAAACAACTTAGCAAATGAGCCCAGCATACACACACACAGATACACACACATATACACACATAGAAAGAAAAATGTTATTTATTGTTATTACGAAAATAAATAAGCAGTCAGGTCAGGGCGATTGCCACGCCTCTAAGACTGCAGCCCACAAAAATGTGGCAAAATAAAAGCGAAGAAATTAAACAACTGGACACACACACATAAGCACACAAATGTATATACACACACACTCGCATTCACACACAAAGCAAATGGCAGCCATTTTATATGCCATTACAGTGTAAATAAAGTATTGTTTATGTGTGCAGTCGCCTGTGAGTGTGTGTGCGCCAGTTACATTTACTTAATAACCTGTATCAGACTTGTACTTTTTATAGGTCAGCCAACAGCTGCGGGTGTGGTCAGACAGGCAAGCAGAAGCCAATGACATTACGACTATTGTGCCCAGTTCGAACTGTGCTGGAGTTGGAGTCGGAGTCGCAGTAAGCCCAGAGGCCAACACTTTATCAACAGACGCTCAATACTCGTAAAACTGTCCTCAAATTATTTATAGACTTGATTTGGACATAGAAAGAGAGAGACTATTATAGGAAAGTAACAAAAACTAATTAGGACTTTCACTGAGCACCATCTCAGCAGCTCGAAGCAATTGTGGGTAACTGGATTTATATATATATATATATATATATATATATATATATATATATATATATATATATATATATATATATATATATATATGATATTGTTCATTTGAAATAAGGAGAGTTATCTTATGGCTTGGAATCCGAATTTATGTATATAAATGTACATGAAGTTCTTCATCAATATATTTTTATATATAAAAGAAGACCCTTACATGTCTTAATTAACTTTCTGATAAAATATCAATTGTGGAAGAAATTATATACTCTTAAATATATATTTCATATATCGAATGCCCACTGTACTTTCTCGCAAAGCGATGTGCAAATTTGCAAATCCTTGGCTTTTAATGAAATTGCTCTTAAGTTTGAAATAAATCTGTAGACAAAAAGAGAACGGAATGAAATGCATTAAATAACTAAATGAAAGCAAATCAATTTGTTTACACTTTTAATTAAAGCTCTTTATTTATATTGCTTAAATAAATACATTTCGATCGGATTTATTGAACTTCGTGCAGTTATTTTTGGCTCACAATTGTTATGCTGTGATTGGCATTGGATTGCAACTAATTGTGGCAACTAAGGTAAGCTCGATTTCAATTTATTATTAGGTTGATAGATTGATACACACAAACTTTTTAAATGGCAAATCAACGCTCGAAATTGTATAATAAATATGCTTTTTTATCTATTGTTCACATTAGGACAGGACGCTGCCCTCCGTGTGCGTCATGTCTGTTGGCCTTTGCCTCGATTCCCAGCTCGTTGCCTCTTCCCTAGCTCTTTCAGTGTCTCCCTTTCGTTCCTAGTTTAATCCGTTTCAATTTTGTCCCGCGTTCTTTGAACTTTGCAGCTGTTGCATGTATGTTCTCCCGCTCCCTTTCCCCCGCGCTCTCTCTCTCACATGCAGACACCCAAGTTTCGTTGTCAGCGGCTTATCAGACGCACACACATATAAACACACTCCAGCGGGCATACACACTCACGCCGACCGCCTAAAAGTAAGCTATGTTTGTTTTTCATTAGTTGCCGACTCGCCGAAGTCTTGATCTCTCAACAGCCGAGTGCCCTCTACTTCTCCTCGACTTCTCGTCTCAACCTATCGTTTGTTCATTTGCTTTGCTTGCTTTGTCTGCAGCTGTATACACCCTGCTGGCAAGTAGATTAGTTAATGCTGGAATTACAGGGTGTGCAAAAATTCAGCCAATTCTATATTCTATATATACTTATATAATGCTAAGAATTAAGATTAAATTCAAATTCAATTGTTTAATAAAATATTTGAAGCATTAAGCAGTACTGGAAGATCTTCAGTATGAGTAAAATATATTACAGTATATAATCAATGCAAAGTCTCTACAATATATTTAAGTCACGCTCGATACACAATTATGAATAGACCAATATATTTTGATAGCATTTCTCTTACGCTCTGAGTTCA